TTCTTTTTTTTATTTTTTTCCCAAAAATATTCAATATTACAAAAATCTGTGGCGCTATGGTCCATTCATTAATGCAACCAGTACTTCTAGGGATCTACTGTATTCCAGGCCTTAGAACCAGATGTATGTGAGTATGTGCTAGGCGTACTATCTTAGTTTATATTTTATCATGAAGACAGATTATTTAATAAGCATTATGAAAGAAACATATCATGTTTCCTTCATATCTCAAAGTATCAAAATTCCCAGATTGAAAAAAATCTTCCCTGCCCCACAACAATATGCCATGGAAGTAATTTGTAGCAATAGGTAAGGACCCAGGTTCTGTGATAGGCAAATTTACAGTAAAATTCAAGGTTTGTTTTGTTTGAAGAGAGAGGGATGATTTTCATAATAAACCTAATATATCTCCTCTCTTTCTAAAAGGCTTCTTTTCAATTTCCCAGTTCAGGGCTCTGATAGTCTTTTCAGAAAAGAAATGCCTCAAATATTCCTAGTTCTGGTTTGAGTTTTAAGTCAGCAAGGGGCAAACAAGCTGGATTTTAGGTTCATGGCTTTTTTGACCCAGTATGGCAAAAACAGACTTCTTATCTCCCCTTCAGGCCTCCCCCTTCCTTCAACTTTTTTCTACAATTTTGAAAGTATGCTGCTGCTTCTTAACGACTATGATAGTACAATAGCATTTTCTAGCATTACCAAAATCCTTAAAATGCATTAGGATATATAAAATTCGCTGCAGTTCTGCAAGGTGAGTATTTTCACTAAGCCCCGTTTTATGGAAGACAAAATTGAAGTTTGGAAAGGTCCTGTGCCTTGCCCGAGATCACAGAAGTCAAGAAATGGCAGAACTGGATGTAACCACAGCATTTAACTGGACACATCCGCTGCATCTTAAACATACACACCTCAGCCATTATATAATTCCACTGCGCTTGCACAGTGCTTCCCAAAGTTCTCCTTTTATCCATTCATTTAATAATATTTTTGGTCATATCTTAAATTTACCTCCCAGTTTAATCAATAAAAACTTCGAAATGCCCTCCCTAAATTCTCTATTTTAAACACATTGCCCCATTCAAATTAATTGTACAAATTACTACAATCGTATTTTCTTTCTTCCTGTGACTGTGTATCCTCTCAGTGGCTGGAACAATAGTCAGAAATTGGAAAACTTTCTTTTTTACTGTCAGGCTGTCTCTCCGGGACTCAAAAGTGAGCCTTTTAAGTGATACGCATAATCACTGTTTCTATAATTGAAAGATTCTACTTCCAGACCCCAGCAGGAAAAAAATGAACACATGTGCTAGATCCTTTTTGGCACCTTCAACTCATGAGGAAAGAATGCTACTCCTCTTTAATAAGAAATGTTCTCTCAGCTGCTTTTGGAAATGTTCAGACTGATTTGGGACCTTAAACAGTGAACGCCGTTAGAACAATTTTCTTGGCAACATGAGCAACACTTGGTGTGAGTCTGTCGCCTTTGATACTTCTGACATCTTGGGTACTCAGTCACGCTGGTTGCATTAGTTTATTGTGAGACTGTCAGCAATCCAAGGTTTTTTTTGTTTGTTTGTTTTAAGATTTTTATTTGTCAGAAAGAGAGAGAGAGAGCACAAGCAGGGGGAGCAGCAGGCAGAGGGAGAAGCAGACTCCCCGCTGAGCAAGGAGCCCAGTGTGGGACTTGATCCCAGAACCCCGGGATCATGACCTGAGCTGAAGGCAGGTGCTTCACTAGCTGAGCTACCCAGGCACCCCTGTTTTTGTTTTGTTTTGTTTGTTTGTTTGTTTGTTAAGAAAATCATTACCAGTCCTCTGCTTGGCTAGCAAATATATTTGCTTTGAATTTCACTCTTGTCATGTTTCACAGTGAATGTGCTGGTGAGTTTTTTCTGATAATCTGTATATATATTAGGAACTTTTTTTTTTTATAACCCAATGAAAATAAAAGTATTTTTTTCAGAGGTATGTCTTGCCAAACCCAGTCTGCTTTGAAAAATGTTGCCAACTATTCTCTGATGTAAAACTTCTTTTTAATTTAATTTTTTTTATTTTTATTTTTTTAGGTACCACTGTAGCACTCCTAGTTCTTGCTTTGGGATTTCTACTGTCAGCGCAGGTTTCCCCACGCATCACTTTTAAACCAGTAGCTCCATCAGGACAGAACGGTACTTGCACAAGATACAGGTGAGATTGCATAATGGTGCCCCTGCCTTAACCTAACTCTAATAACTTTTTTGTTGGCTTTTACCTTTTCTAAAATTTGAGAGATGAGTAGGACCTTGCTTATGAAGGAAGATAAGACGATGGGAAGGGCGGTGGGGAGGGACCATGAGCAGGAGGAACAGCATGTGCGAAGACACGAGGACAAAACTGCTTAAGGAAAAGTATTAGATACAATATTGACATCTTTCTGGAAGTTAAAAGTTGGGATTGATATGGAATCTAAGCAGGAATACTGTGAAACCATTTTAGATCATATGTGTATGACTCAGTGGCATCTACATTCCAGGTAAAATAAATAATCAGTAATTAAACTTTTCCATGATGTACATGTCTGATAGAAGAGATTATCATCTGTGTATTCTAACAGTCTTCACAGAATTTCACAAGTATCCTCTCATTCATGTAAGCAAAAAAGGAAGTTTTCTTTCACTGCTGGGGTTCTTCCAGAACATTAAAAAGTGGAAAGAGATGGTGGGAGAGAGTGAAATAATTCTGATGGCCAATTGCAGGTGTAGGAGCTCTAATGTTAAGTCTAATGGTATACACACTATGTGATTAGATGGTTGGAGAAATGGATGGATGGGTAGACAGATGGACTAAAGAATGCACAAATGAATTACTTAGAGATTGAATGAACAGGTCAATTAATGTGTCTGGCAGCAGAGTTTCAAAGTTTATTAACTTCATTTTAGTGGTTGAAAAGGCTAGCAGCCCCTTTAAAATACATGGATAGAACAAGACCTGTCTTTATTTATTTATTTATTTATTTATTTATTTATTTATTTAGAGCGAGTGAGCAAGCGCATGCACATGCAGGGGTGGAGAAGGGGCAGAGGGAGAGGGGGAGAGAGAATCTTAAGCAGGCTCCACACACCCACTGTGGAGCCCAACACAGGGCTTGATCTCACGACCCTTGAGATCATGAACTGAGTTGAAATCAAAAGTCAGACGTTTAACTGACTAAGCCACCAAGGTGCCCCAAGACCTAGTTTTAAAAACAAAAAATGATAGTCCTTCAGCCTCAACTAAATGGACACAAGTCTCAAGTCAATGGGTAAATGATTTATTAATTTATTAACTTTTAGTTATATACTCCTATATGAAATTAAAACATTACATTGATACACTAAATTCCACTTGGAATCCACTTGGAACTTCATATTGAGTGGGTATTGTATCTATGGTGGTTTCTCATTACAACAATGAGAGGATATATATTATGCCTTCCAGGTCCCAAATTCTGATATTTACTTTCCTTTAGAAGTAAATGGTTATACTCCTCCTTCCTCTTACTAATAAGTTTACTTATATATTTGCCTACTGATTTTTTAATATTCTTTATCTTGTTCTAAAAAAGACTTAAAGATGTCTTGATAAAAGAAGTTAACTTTAGAATAGACTATTCCTAGATGTAGTGATGTTTACTTTCTTTCAACATCCCACATCAACTGCTAGATGATAGAGCAATTACCAGAATTCTGCGTGCTCTGCTTTTGATTTTTTCTTGATAGATATTTTAAGTAAAATGTTTTTAACATAGTTACTTCTGGCAAATTATTTAAAATATTACCGTTGTTGGGACGCCTGGGTGGCTCAGTCAGTTAAGTGTCTGCCTTCAGCTCACATCATGATCCTGGGGTCCTGAGCTCGAGCTCCACATTGGGCTCCTTGCTCAGCGGGGAGCCTGCTTCTCACTCTGCTGCTCTCCCTGCTTGTGCTCTTTCTCTCTCTGACAAATAAATGAATAAAACCTTAAAGAAAAAAATACTGTTGTTTGAGCAACAACTCCGATATATGATGTCTGATTTAGATGGAGTAATTTAGATTCAGAATAAGACTGGTACATGCATGGTCAGGGCATCTAAAGGCAGAAAGTTAGCCAGAGTATGAAAAAAGTTTTATGAACTTCTGATACAGGAAAAGAATGACAAACTTTTGAATGATTGTCATAATAAAGTAGTTTTCTTGACATCGACTTTTAGAGTTTAAATAAAAATATTTATTGCCCTAGTTAGTTTGCATAGCAGTTTATGATTACCAACCTATTAATCCTTCTGATCCTTCTAAGTTGTTATCTACCTAGGATTTCAATACCAAAGTATAATGGAGTAGAAGTGGTACAGCTTAATTTTATTCTCATCACAAAAACAGGCAGTAGTTTTTAAAACAGAACCAAATTTTAGATGTCCTTTGGGAGACAGTGAATATGAAAACAGTTATATGTTGTGTACCATCTTTCAGTTGCATATTATGCTTTGTGGGAATTTGATAGGACATACATATATTCTGAGTGATTATATAAAATAGGCCTGCATTTCCCATACTGATTTTGTTCTAGTCTCCTGGTTGTGTTCTTGTTTTGTTAAAATTATGTATACACTTTCCCCTTTCTTTAAGATAAGCATGAAAGTCATGTTTGCAATACAGTACCATAGGATGAGTAATAGTTTAGGCTGTAAATGTAGGTACTGTGCTTTCCTCATGGAATGATCCATATAGGAAAATTGAGCAAATAAAACAGATTTAAAAGGGAAATTGATTTAATATCTATCTTAAAAATGTATACTATTGATGAGATTGTAAATTTCTCTCCATTTTGGAAGGAATACAATTCTGCCTAATAAGAGTCAAATGCCTACACCTACTGACTCAGCACTTCCGCTTGTAGAAATCTATAGACTGTAGCAATGAGTGTGTATTCATTCCAGTTACGGCCAAGTATTCTTTATCCGATTAAACATAGTTTCTTATGAGAGCTTTCAAAGCTTTGAGGATTCATACCTTTCCTAAGTAACACTTCCCTCAAATTCTTGACATTTTCTTAGTTTTGAGTGTGATCTCAGTATATGCAAATTGCTATCATAAAATCCTTCAAAGTAGGCAGATATTTCCTAAAATATATGTGAAATTTCAGGGTTTTAATCTCATCTCATTCATTCATTCATGTGTTCATGCATGTAGTTAAAAATATTTATGGAACACCTACTTACAGGATTATAGTAAGGATAAATTAATATAAGAAAACAGTGCCTAGCACATAACAAGCATTCAGTAAATAATGTAGCCATTGTTATAATTAATAAAGCTTATAATAGGAGATGAGCATGGGATGATGGGTAGTCTTTCAGAGAAGATTACCCTGAGCATTGGCTGTTTGAACTGAGCTCTGAAAGGGAGAGAGGAGCATGGCAGGCAGAACAAACAGCATATACAAAGGCCATGCAAGGCACAGAGAACTTGGCAAGTGCAAGGAACTGAAAGAATGCTACTGCAATTAGAGGAGCTTAAGAGAACACGGGTAAGGTAGGCGGAGCCAGGTTCATGCAGGACCTCAAAGGTCATGTGAACGATTCTGATCTTCAGTCTAGGAACATGAACCCATTGAGAAGTTTTAAGTAGGGTAGTGGCTTGACCAGATTTTCAAGTCTAAACTTTCTCTCTGGGGGTGGGATGCACAGAGGGCATATGCTGATGTAGGGAAACTGGTTATTAGAGTTGTCTATGAGAAAGACGATAATTGCCTGAACTATGGTGGCAATATTGAAGGTAAACAGGTAGGACAAATCCTAAATATATTTAGGAGAGAAAAATCAACAGCAATTAAAAATAAGTAATTGATTAACTATGAGCAACCAGGTAGAAGAGATCATGAAAATGAAATGTGGTTATTGGGTGAGGCAATCACTATATTTTAGTAGGAGTTGACAAAAAGGCTGTGTATCTAATTCATTTTTATTTTCCCTTTTAAAATTTCTCAATTGAGAATCTTACTTAGAGTCATCTGAGGAAGTGTTTAAAGCTACCCATCCCTCATTCCCATTCCCATGGATCTGCCTCAGCAGAATGGTGGAGGGTATGTTAGAAATACTCCCCCGGCTGATTCCAGTACATCTTCTATTAAGAATCACATACCATAATGCTTCAATTTTTTTTTATTTTTTTTTAAGATTTTATGTATTTATTTGAGAGAGAATGAGAGACAGAGAGCATGAGAGGGAGGACGGTCAGAGGGAGAAGCAGACTCCCTGCTAAGCAGGGAGCCCGATGCGGAACTCCATCCCGGGACTCCAGGATCATGACCTGAGCCAAAGGCAGTCGTTTAACCAACTGAGCCACCCAGGTGCCCTGCTTCAATTTTTTTAACTGCCAGCTTCCTTTCATTTCTTTTTCTTTTTTCCCTTGAATGTTGTTAAAGCAAGCATACAAAAATAATCAATGTGGTTCTTTTTCTATTGAGTAATATTTTTGTGTTTTCCTCTCCAGATGAAGTTTACAAGCATTAAAATTTCTAAACTGTTGCTTCATTATAGACCTCCCTATGATAATGACACTAGTTTTGAGAAACTGTATATGCCTAACTAAGTAGCTCCTCACAGTTTAGTTACATTAAGAATATTTTTGCAATCACTATACTTTCCTTCTCCTTTTGCCAACCTTGTGTGATTTAGCACATGTTGGCATGACACTATAAAGCTGTTAGTTATAAAACTTAGAATGTGCAGAAGCCCTGTTAGCCCCTAATTTTTTTTTTTCCAGTGTTTGGCATCCTGGTGATGATGTGTTTGTATCCAGTAATTCTTAGCAACTTGACAGTGAATATAGTGTTATACTATGAATTGCAACTTTCCATTTTTGTCAAATTTTGTCTTCTATCTAGTGATTTCCATTAAAATTAACTTATTTTAATTTTTTGGCCTGGTTGTATAGGCTAATATTCTTTGAAGTTACAGAGGACAATATGTCTGTTGAATAATATCCATAGACCTACTTCAGATGAAGATAAATGTACGTAAAGGGAAAATGAGAGTTGAAACAAAAACCTCCTGACCTTATCATGTACCCTTATCTCCAAATGGTTATACATGTCTTTTGCTAGATTTAAATACCTAGGCCTGAATTTGATGCCTGGATGAGAGAATTGTGGAAGAGATTCTTGGAGGAAGTTGGTCACTTATGGGACA